CCAGGCTCCGAGCCATCAGCCCAGAGCCCGACGCGGGGCTCGAACTCACGGACCGCGAGATTGTAACCTGGCTGAAGTCGGACGCTTAACCGACTGTGCCACCCAGGCGCCCCAAGTCTTACTTTTTAATGTTCCGAGTAACCTGCTTTGAATTTGTGTCTTGTTTTCCAGTTTTTTAAGGGTGTCAGTTTTACCAGCCTGAAGTTTTTGAGCGTAATCCATTTGTCAGTCTTGTTGTTTTTTTTGTTTTTTGTTTTTTGAGGAAAAGTATTCATCTGGAAATAAAATCTTGATCTTAGGAGGATCTCATTTTGAGCCTGTATTATGGGAGAAGGTGTAAATACTTTAGATAAATAATGAGTTGATCTGTAAGTTAATTAAACCCGAGCAAACCTGCATGTCAAAACAAAAATGCTTCGTCAGTGTTTTCTTTGCATCCGCTTATTCTGAACCTGTTACTGCGGTACTGAGGAACCATACGATGCATCCCTTTCTCAAAAGGGGTACAGATAAATGTCAGCTGCAGTAAGTGAAAACCGTAATTACAGTTAGTGTGTATTGAGCAAAGTGCTGTGTGGGCAAAGCACTGTGTAAAGTTCTGTATGTAAATAGCACATCCTAGATAACACTTTGCATTGTGATTATTAAGAACAGGGTGCCTTTTGCCCATTCTCCATTTGAAGAACGATTAGCATCGCTTGTAAATGATATAGGTCTACCTTTGGGCTTGCTTCACTTCAAAAAAGGAAACCCCGGGAGCTTTTTGTAGAAAGGACAGACCCCAAAACATCTTCTCTTTGAATACTGAATTTTCTGAAGCCCCCTTGTCAACAGTTTACTGATTCCAAGTGCGGGGCCTCTTAGCCATTCTTTTAAAGGCTGTTTTCTTGTAAAATGTAGCTATACGTGAGCTTCTGGTTTGCCTGGGCTGCATTTGTTTACAGCCCCTCCTCACCCATTCTCCGTTTCTCTCTGCCCACCTCCTCCCCACCCCCAGGCTCATTGTGCCCAGATTGTAATCTGATTTTCATCAAGATTCATCTTCACTTAATCTTGAAGATGCAGTGAGACTGGAATGAGGATCTGAGACTATGGGTGTCTTTATTTTCTTCTTTCCACATTTCTGTGTTTTCTGTAATGAGCACAGGCAACCCATGATTGAGAAACAATAAATTTGATATTCTTAAGACCAGCATTTTTTTTTTTTTTTAACTGAAGTGCTGTGCCAAGCTCCTTAATTTCATTCTTTTGTGGTAAATTCTAGCGATGAGATGAGTTTGGTAAACTAAGAGACCCGGGGGTGGTAATCCTTGGCATCTTTCCCTATTATCCTATTTATTTGGCTTGAAGAGTTTTACTTGTCTGTTTTTAGAGGATATGTTAATTGAGTGATCAGTATTCATTACAAATAATCTTGTCTGTTTTCTTGTCGAGATTCTGAAGGCCCTTTTGCTCTTTCTGTAAAAGCTAAGCAGACTGTATTAACTTCTGGTTTAATTTAAAAAACGAATGTGGAACTTGTTGGCGCACACCTTAAAGAATTGCATGTTTAATAATTGGAAGGCTTTCCATCAGATTTGTCTCCAGTCTGAATTAATAATGTTGCTGACTTATTGTTTTAGAAGACGGAGTCCTTGACCTGCTGGGTTGAAAGAATGTGACTGCTTTGCCCCTCTGTGGGTCCTTTAGCTGTGCTATATCCCCTGTGAATAATTAGAGGTGTTTGAAGGTATTGCGGTAGAAGCCAATTTGTGTCTTTCACTTTGCATATTGTTGAAGCCTCATGAATTAGTCATAAGCAGGCAAAAAATTAACTTCTTCAGACACATATTTTGATGGGTCATGAGGGAGAATGTAAAGTGATCTGTAAAGTATTCTACTGATCCTCTAAGTATTAAATTATTATACCTACAGGCTAATTTCAGAGAGACAAAAAAAGAGCATTCTTCCTCCGCCTTCAGTAACCGAGCAGCAAATTTGGGGAAAAAAAAAATAAACGTTAATTTTCTAGGACTGTTAAGAGGTGTATAACATGAGCAATTTTATGGTTTCCTGGACACCAGAGTCTTGTACGAATTCTTGTTTTTAAATGTTTTCTTGGGTATTTTTCTTTTTAATTTTAAATTATTCGAGTTCAGGATTCTTACAACAACCGATACTTCTTGTTGATTTGATGAAATGTGAAACCAAACAAGTAGCTCATTTTTCTCACTTTCAGCGTCTGAAACACTGAATCAGTAATATGGATTTCAATACTTGCTTAAAAATCTAGTTTTACATTAACATTTTTTTTTCCATTGTCTTTTTTTTTTTTTTTTTCCAGCTCATGAAACTGAAATTGCATTCTTCTGTGAAGAAGATTATAAGAACTACAAAGCTAATCCCATTTCATCCTGGTGAAAACCCTTTGGGGGCTCCCTTTTTGCATACCTGTCTTAAGCTCTTTATCCCACTAGTGAGTTTTTTTTTTTTGAAATTGATAAATAAACCTAAAAAATTAATCGTAGGCTCTGCGATTTTTGCTGAAGTCTGTGGTGTTTTCTGTCCCTGCAGGTCTGTACTTTTTTTTTTCTTGTTGTAAAATAATGTATTTATTTATGAGAAAAAAACATACGATTTTTTTTTTTTTAAGTGAAAGAAATGGTTATCCAAAAATCATCATGGACGATTGGTTCTCTAGTCATAACTTTTTTTTCTGAAATTAGGGGTTATTTGGGTGGCTTGCATGTTGGGTTCCTTAAAAAGATTGGAAGATGGGGCGCCTGGGTGGCTCAGTCGGTTAAGCGTCCAACTTGAGATTCTCTCCCTGTCTCTCTCTCTCTCTCTCTCTCTCTCTCTCTCTCTCTCTCTCTCTCTCTCTCTCTCTCTCTCTCTCTCTCTCTCTGCCTCTCCCCTACACGTGCTCTCTTGCATGTGTCCACCCTCTCTGTCTCTCAAATAATAAATTTCAAAAATAATTTTTTTAATAAAAAAAGAATATAAGACTAAGGTCATTCTGTTCATTTTGTGGTCTTCCCATGGTTTCCATTAGAGCCACTGTGGACCGTTACCGTCTTTGGTTAGCAGAGATTATGAGTCTCTCATGACCACCAGTGGCATCTTTTTGGCCACAGTGAGAGGTTTTCTGATGTAAGAGTGTTTCTTTTCTTTTCATATTTCAGCCCACACAAATAACACGACTGATTTCCCACCCCCCGAGCTGTGTTTCCTTACTTCAGGAGCAAACTATAATAGAACCAAACTCATTTCTTTGGAGAGAAAAGGTAGCAGGATGTTTGCACTTCTGGAAGAAAATTGTTCACTGAGAACAAGTCTAAGTCATGGAAGGTACATTTTTTTTCAAAATAATATAATACTCTGGGTTCCCTATAATGGCTACTACCAGTTCCTAAAGAGTCCTGATTTCAAAGGGGCCTCTCGGACAGCATGTGGATCTAATGAGAACTCCTACGAAGTTAGTTGGCCCTAGAATTATTCCAAGAACCCTCAAAATTGCTAGTAGGACAAATTGGTTTCATTGTGGTAGAGGCCAACTTAAAAAAAAAAAATCAGCTTTGAAAGTCTGATTAACATAATCAAAATATGGTTTTTTGGGGCTTGTTGAAAGATTTAGTATAGTAGAGCCTCATTTAAAAGAGAAAGTTTATTCATGGTTTCATTCATTAAAAAAGGGCTGAATGGACCAATGACCCAGGCTCCCGAGGAGTGAATAAACACTGAAATAAGACACAGTTTTTGCCTCAGCAAGTGGAGAAAGATATTTAAGCAAGTAATTTTAATATAGTAACAGTGGAAGCTGCCATGGGAACAATGGATGATGGGATAGTTAATTCTATATTCTGTGCAGGCTTAGTTTTTATTTTTATTTATTTGTTTTTTTTTTTAAAGTTTATTTTGAGAGAGAAGAGAGCTGGGGAGGGTAGAGAGAGAATCCCAAGCAAGCTCCATGCTGTGAATATGGAGCCCGAAATAGGGCTCTGTCCCACAAACTGCAATCATGACCTGAGCCAAAAGTAAGAGTTGAACACTTAACCAACTGAGCCACCCAGGTGCCCTTGGTTAATTTTTATTAAAAAAAATTTTTTTTTAATGTTTATTTATTCTTGAGACAGAGACAGAGCATGAACAGGGGAGGGTCAGAGAGAATGGGAGACACAGAATCTGAAACAAGGCTCCGGGCTCCGAGCTGTCAGCACAGAGCCCGACGCGGGGCTTGAACTCATGGACCGCGAGATCATGACCTGGGCTGAAGTCGGACGCTCAACCGACTGAGCCACCCAGGCGCCCCTAATTTTTATTTTAAAAGAAGTATCCGTTGAGCTTTTTCTTAAAAGATTAAATAGGAATTTTTACTTAGTAGAAAATAAGGGAAAAGCTTTTAGGAAGAGGGACCAGCATGTATAAAGGCAAAATGCTGTTAAAGAACTTGGGATTTTCTGCAGGAAGTTACAGATTTCAATGTACTAGAGTGGAAGGCCCTTGCACCAGAGGGGAGGAAGAGAAGGCCAGAAGGGAGGTTGAGCTAGGCTTTATCTATCACGCTAAGGAGTTGGAACTTTACCTAGTAGGTAGTAGGGAGCCAATGGAAAGATTTAAACAGATAAATTATAGGACTAGATTCGTATTTTAGAAAGGGAGCTTTGGCCGCAGCATCTAGAAGGCAGAAAGACAGTTGTCATGGACCAGGCAAAAGTCTGGATGGCCTGACCTCCAGAGTTCGGCACAGGGGAAGGGGAGGGGAGGAGACTTTCTCGCGAGATAGTGTTGCCATTTGGTCACGAGTTACATGGCAAGCATCTTGTGGGGTACTTTACATATATTATCTCATTCACTTTTTACCCCAGCTCTTCAGTCTAGATAGTATCATATCTATTTATGGATAAACAAATTGGGGCCCAGAGAGGTAAGGTAGTTCACCCAAAGTGATGCAGTCGTGTACAGTGGGATTGGACCTGGGTGTATCTTGAAGTCCTGACCTTGCCCTGTCAGCCCTGTGGCCTCCAGTTAGAGGTGTGGGGTGGAGGGACTGGGGGAATCTGGGGCTTGGTGAGGGCTGGGTGTGGAGGGTGTAGCAGAAGGAGGAGTGGGGACTTGGTGATTCTTGCCGGAGCGAGTGGCTGGCTTGATGGCGAGGGCGTTGACCCAAGTAGGGGATTTGGTGAGGAGAAGAACAGGTTAGAGCACATTACATTTGCTCATTTTGCACTCAGTTTACACACCAGTTTTTCATTTTTTAAAAATTTTTTTTATGTTTATTCGTTTTTGAAAGACAGAGACAGAGCACAAGCAGGGGTGGGGTGGAGAGAGAGGGGGACACAGACTCTGAAGCAGGCTCCAGGCTCTGAGCTGTCAGCACAGAGCCCAATGCGGGGCTCAAACCCATGAACCGTGAAATCATGACCTGAGCGGAAGTCGGATGCTCAACCGACTGAGCCACCCAGGCGCCCCGAGTTTTTCTTTTCTAAGAAAAATGAAGCCTTTTTTTTTTCACCTGTATATTTTCTTTTTTAACAAATAATGCAAAAAGATGCATACAAAGTCCTTTGTTTTGGTGTGTATTTTCCTGATTAGACAGTTACATATAGTTATAAACACAGGTGTGGAAATCAAAACTAGAAATGTCTTATGACTGAAGAGGGCTTTTACCAGGAATGGAAGATTGGTTCAAAACTACAGAAAACCTATCAAAGTAATTCACAAAATCTGTAGATTACAGGAGAAAGAAATTACGCTTCTCTCAGTAGCTGCCAAACAAGCATTTGATGATCTGCAACCCCGGGCGTAAGTGAAAGGCAGGAAAAGGATGTGCCCTTCGCTTAGCGAAAGTTGTCCACAGAGAACCCGCTTACTGGACAAGTGTTCTAGGCAGACCTATCAGAGAAGATGCAGGACCAAGGTGACCACTGCTGCCGGGACTATCCAGAATTGTTCTGAGGGTCTTGTTGTAACCAATACAATAAGAAAAGTGATAAGGAGCACAGATACTGGAGAGGAGGAGGTAAACCATCCCTTTGCAGACAACAGGATTCCAAGCGTATCAAGTGACACATTAGGAGAAGTAACGAGAGACTTCCAGAGCACCTGATGACCAACCTACTGAGACGTGTGCACACAACGTTCCTAGAGGATATAAGAGACCTAAGCGAAGAGGGATCACATGTTCATAGATGGAAACCCCGGTGTCATAAAGACATAGGTTTGTACCGAACCTGTAACTTAGTGTAACCTCCATCAAAACCCCCAAGGATTTATATTGGCGTTTGACAAACTGGCTTAGAGATTTTATTTGGAAAAGGAAATGTGCGAAAAGAGCCACGATCAACTGAAAAAGCAAAAAGGAAGGGGGGTTACCCACCAGGTGTCAAAATGTGCTTTAAATGTGTATAATTAAAACAACTGGGGAGTGATACAGAAATAGACCCAAAAAAAAAAAAAAGAGAATAACAAGTAAAACTAATGTATGTGGAAACTTAGTATATAATAAATGTATTTGTAAGAAAAGAAGGATAATTATATGCTAACTAATTTGGATGTAAATTAAAAAAAATAAAATTTAAAAAAGAAAAGGATATTTTTAGCAGCTGGCTAGGCGTGACAAGAGTGAGTTAGGGTCCTACTTGCTACCATTCACATAAATTTCAAATGGATTAAATAACTAGACATGAAAAACAAGACGATGAGCTTATTAGGAAAAAAAAAATGGATTATATATATGACCATGGGATAGAGAAGTCCTTAAAACACAAAATGCAAATACTATAATTTGCTAAATTTTATGTGTCTCTATGAAAAACTAACTCCCTCCCTCAAAAAAAAAAAAAAAAAAAAAAAAAAAAAAGGTTGAAAGACAAGTGAATGGGAGAAACTACTTGCAGTTATTTAAAAAAATTTTTTAATGTATTATTTTTGAGAGAGAGAGACAGCGTGAGTGGGGAAGGGGCAGAGAGAGACAGGAAGACATAGAATCCGAAGCAGCTTCAGGCTCCGAGCTGTCAGCACAAAGCCCAATGCGGGACTCGAACCCACGAACCGTGAGATCATGACCTGTGCTGAAGTCGGACACTCAACCGACTGAGCCACCCAGGTGCCCCATATTTGCAGTTATAAAGTAGACAAAGAATGGGGCTCCTGGGTGGCTCAGTCGGTTAAGTGTCTGACTCTTGATTCCGGCTCAGGTCATGATCTTACCGTTGGGTTAGTGAGATCGAGCCCTGAGTCAGGCTGTGCACTGATAGAGAGGAGCCTGCTTGGGACACTCTCTCTCTCTCTCTCTCTCTCTCTCTCTCTCTCTCTCTCTCGTGCGCGCGCGTGCACGCACACTGCCCCTTCCCCCCTCAAATAAACATGAAAAAAAATTTTACATAGACAAAGGATTCGTTTCCTGAATATGTGAATAACTGTTATTATA